AAATGTTGGATCGTCAATCTCTAGAGAATATTGTTTACTTTTGAACTTTTTTTGCCTTTTTGTTGCAACTAATCCTGTTTGGCTGGAATCATGCACACCGATAGGCAATGTAAAAAAAAGTTATGTAAAAGGACGTCGTTAAAAAGCTAAGAAATAAGAGCCCTCTTTTTATAGTTCATAATATGTTAAAATAAACCACAGAAGCTCATGTCAATATCAAATATGTACTTTTGTTTTTACTAGCTCTTCAAAGTATTTGTAAATTTTAGGCCCGTCAAACTGTCCTGCCCCCCTTAATACGAAAGAAAAAAAAACAATTAAATTAAATTAAATTAAAAAAAAAAAAAACTATCGGAGGGATATTAAACAAATGTTCTCCTTCTCTCTCGTCCTCGCACGCTTTGAATATTTTTAACGTTCGAGTCGCGTTCAAAGTTAATTAACGCGAGTTGAACGAAGCTGATTTTATAATCGAACGACAAAAGCCAGACCTCTGTAAAAGTTCGAACAGCGCAGTTTGGAGTAACAATAATCCGTTTTTTAAGGTGAATTGCCTTGGACAATATTTTATCAAAGGAGAAACGAGCTGCTTGCTCGCAACGACGTACGTACATACGTGTTACCTGCGACTGTGCTGCAGTTATTAATAATACTGCCGATGCTGATGTTCATTAGCCGCTTAATTTTATTTAACAGCGCGTGCGTTGTGATTTCACGATCGTGTGTGTATGAAATCGCAAGGAAAGAAGGAAAATGGAAAATAAACAAAACGGTTACGATAACGACGTTATCCCGGATTAACGTTAATATTCCCAATTCAAACGAAATTTCACATGCCTCTCGAACGCGTCGAACGTGAAATTTCCAAAACCTTTTGGAAATTCGAAAGGGGAGTTCGTTACCCCGGGTTTTTTTCTTTTTCTCTTTTTTCTTTTTTTTCTTTTTTTTTTTTTTTTTTTTTTTAAGCGTAGGCCGGACTAACTCGTCTCTCATGAATTTAAAATATATAACCTACTTCGTAG